GTAAAAGTATATCGCGCCTCTACAGGCCTGATACCGCCCGCTGTGGTCCGCTTCTTTAAGCTAGCCCTGCGGCCCGGATATATCATATTACTTATTTACTATTTTATTTATTGTAAATTTCAATAAACATTTCTTAATKGTACAAAACTATGTATTATGAAATTATTTCCGTACATGGTACGTCAAAAGTTTGACGCATCGTGTCAAATGTACGGCCAGTTGATATGGAATTGGACATTATGGTTGGGATATATGAGACTTTGCAGATTTTTTATACAAGAGACTTACGAATTTATGACACTTACGAATACTACATAAAATTTGTCATTGAAAAATGTGGGATTGAATAAGACTTTACAACTTCCAATAAACGTAAAAATCTTAGAAAAGTGTTCATCGATGACGGATCCGCTTCTATCGATTTTAAGGTAACCACGTAATTAGTATATAGTAACCATAGATAAAATTATAGTTGAAGTAGAAAAACGAAAACAATAAATGAATGAACTTTTCCATCAATACTAGTTTTTGATTTCTTTTACCACTATAAGACTAAAGCAACTAAAACCAGAATATAGGAGCGTTAGAATTCTAGCCTTAAGGCTTAACAACTTCAGAAACTATATTCGGAAGATTTGGATGTATCATTCCTCATTAAATGTATTCATTTTAGGGTATATTTAAAAAGTTTACTACAGGAGAGTAAAATTGTACCTAAATGTGTTATTTTGTTCAATATATGTTGGTATTCATAAAACAGAATAGTTCAGTTAAAGTGTATCTTTATATTGATATTGCTCTAAGAATGTTTCTATGTACACCTTCAACTTGAAGGCTTCAAGTAATTGCTCAACGGAAAGATAATTTTATACAAGTGTCAACAATTATTTAAGATCAACAATGGGAGAAAATCGTATGCGGGAGCAATCGATAAGCAATCCTCAACGACCTCAACATTGAAGCTGATTTAACAAAACCTATTAATTTTAATGATATTATTGACACTTTTACTTCTCAAAAGTCAAGAAAAAAATTATAAGGTACGTATTGATCATTTTATTATATATAATTGATAATAAATATTATGTATTTAACCTGATATAAAAACACATATTATTAATCATTGTGCATATAATAAGTGTTGATCTGTTTTTTTAATATAATATATATATATTATGTATATTTATGAATGGAATATTCACTTTGAAAAAAAGATTAGGTTTACGTTAGAATCTGTATTACTATAAAGTTATCCAATACAATATTGCAAAACAACTGATTTATGATTTGTTTCATAAAATGTATTTATATTATATATATATATATATATATATATATTTTTTTTTTTTTTGGGGAGAGTGAAAAAAATTATTTTTCCGTGGAGCGCGCAAACATAGTCATTAAATGCATGCAAAGTCCCAAGTTAACTGCTTCCTTTCCTCTGTGCTACAATCGTCGTTCCGACTGACCGCTATTATCACCGCGACCGCGTCGTGGATAGATTGTATTGTAGTGTTAGATTGCCTACCCACACATTATCAGGGGTGTCAGGAGTATGTGAGAAGAGTTTCCTATTAAGTACTACCTCGGGCGCTACCAAAAATTGTTAAGGTTTTTATGTCCCGTTCTGGCCGTTCTGCACATAATCAAGCCACGTAGTCTACCCTGAATAGTTCATGCATTATAATTTTATTTAAAAAATAGTAAAAATACTTACCTATATACTGGTGTTTTATTTTTATACATTAATACTGTCACAATTCTTACAATTTACACTGTTATTAACATTTAATAGATCTTTTGAATAATCTAGTATGTAGTATAGTAAATAACAAGTATTACATACATAGGCACCGCCAGAGATTTTGTCAGGGAGGCGCATCGTGCATAGTATACTTTGATTTCTAAATAATGTTTAAATTATTTTAATTAAATACGTAGAAATATTTTTTCAAATTATATGACGATACAAAATTATTTTTGTTTTTTCGTCGGATACAAAGTTTTTAATAGATAATTATGCAAAAAAAATCTTTTCAATAGGTAACATAGATTTTAGATTCTGAGCGGAGCAATGAATGTATTGATTTTAGTATGATGTGTGTTTTTATTTTT